GCTGCCCAAGGCTGCATTAACAGGTTGCACAGTAGGCATTGCTTAATCCACAGAGGGATGAGTAGCAGTAATTTTTATCACTATAGCACCTAGTAGATCACTGCTCAAATCCTTCTTGAAACACATAAGCTAGTTCTCATCTGTCAACAATGTCTGCAGGCAAGCTGCCATCAGGAGGAGGTGACACAGTTTAGGTGCTGGCAGCCAGGCACTCAGGTTCACTTTTGCCCACTCACTTCCTGGAAAGCAGCAGAGGAACAAGAGGATGCTGCCCTGGTCCCACATCCACCTGAGGGCTAGATAGGAGAGGAAATCATTTTAGACCCAAAAGCCTGATGGAATCACTTAGACCCAACTTCATGTTTTCTAGCCAGTGGTACTAGGGAGCTCTGTCCAGTCTTGGACCACGGCCTCATGTTTGGCCTTAGACCAAAGGAAAAGGTGATAATTTGCAGTAAACTGGATTCCTTTTGCTTATAATGAAGCACAAGGAGCTCTTGGGGCTGACGTGGAGCACATCTTTGGAACCATTATTGATGATTCACTGCCAGCCTCGCCAAAGGCATTACAGTCCTCACAGGACAATTACAGAGGCATCCTGCCTCTGCACAGGCTCTTAGAAAGAGCTGATGATGTCATGCTGGGCATGCCAAGACAAGCAGAGGAGAGGGAAGGTGATCAAAGAAGTAGGGAACCTGCCAGATCTTTCCACTAAAGGGAGTGTGAAGAGATACTACCATTCTGTATCACTGCTGAGCAATTACAGAAAAGGGTAGGAAACGAAACACAGACCAGAACACATAGGTCACTGACAGCTCCACAGAACCCTGGTATCACAAACAGGTCCTCAGTGAATAATGGTGGAACTTCTATGGACAACAAAACAGAAAAGAAAACCCAAGAATGTCCTTGAAAGGTATTTCATCAGCTGAGACACAGAGAAATACGTAGGATATGCCAGTGCCAAACTTAATATATAACAGCAAAAATACATACAACAACTAATACTTACAATGTGTATTATGTTTCTGATCTTTAAACCCCCTGTTTGTATCAGACAGTTGTTTTTATGATGCCCTTGAGAAGGAGGACTACTGTGATTATTATTTCCAGCCTACAAAGCATGAAATTGAGATTTGGAGAAGCTGAACTATTTGCCTGGACTGATTTGCAAAGGTGGGATAAGAACCCTGGAGTGTCTGGTGCCATCAGTGAGATGGAGATCATCTTCAGAACAGCCAATAAGGAGCAGAAAAGGAGTGGAGTGACAATGACATCAAAACCTCGATAAGCAATGCTTTGTAAACAGCAAACAAGAATTTTCCATAGGTGAGACTGCAATTCAGTGACAATGAGCAGACAGGAGCCAGGGCTGCTGCAGTTCTCACTCTATCCCTGTACCCACCCCTGTGCAGGCTGGAGGGACATGCAGAAGCCTGAGTTGGTGTCCAGTGCTGGCAGCACCCGGTTCCAGCTTCCTTCTCCTGGCACTCCCTGGTGGCCACTTCACAGGATAAAAAACAGAATTAACCCAAATACGTGACTAAACTGACCTAAACCTAACTTGGGCTGGCAGTCCTGCAGGGGGACAGCAGCAGCTTGGGCACCAGCAGGGACTCGGTTTCCGTGTCATGTCTGAGTCCCCAGGGAAGTTCTCTTGGACATAAAGACAGGCAGTGACTCAGGGAGTGTTTGTAATAACATGAAATGCTGGATCTCCTTCTTGGGGGCACATTCTACTTTCTGAAGTCCATATGCATTAGCTCAAGAAACAGGCTTAAGCTTTAAAGTATCTCTGCTCTGGAGACAGGCTGAGACAGATGGGCTGGTTCAGCCTGGAGAAGAAGAGGCTCCGGGGAGATCTTAAAGCAGCTTCCAGTGCCTAAAGGGGCTGCAAGAAACCTGGGGAGGGGCTTTGGACAAGGGCCTGAAGGGACAGGACAAGGGGAATGGCTTTAACCTGACAGAGGGGAGATGGAGATGAGCTCTGAGGCAGAAGCTCTTCCCTGGGAGGGTGCTGAGGGGCTGGCACAGGGTGCCCAGAGCTGTGGCTGCCCCATCCCTGGCAGTGTTCAAGGCCAGGTTGGACACAGGGGCTTGGAGCAACCCGCTCTAGTGGAAGGTGTCCCTGTCTGTGGCAGGGGCTTGGAACTGGATGAGCTTTAAGATCCCTTCAACCCAGACCAGCCTGGGATTCTATGAAAATATCTTGAGATATCCAAAGGACTTCCTCAGGGGAAATCTCATCTTTCTTTCTCATTTCCATTGCCCTTTTTAATTTGACAATTTGGTGCAGTAGAACAAGCCTCAGGAATAAGGCCACAGCACCCATCTACCACCATCCTGATCTCCTTTATAAAGCCCAGCACAAGATGCAGATGTAAAGCTGCAGAATAATTCCTTTCTTTTAATTTTTGACAGTGCTCATTAAATGGGAACAGCACCTTTGCCTAGGGGAGGCTTTTATGCTCATTTGTTACTTGAAGTAATAATTTTCCCTTGTCAGGCCTGCACTGATGTTCCTGGAATGCCTGCAGGAACCCTCGTAAGCCATCATTCCCCTCCTCCATTTCCTCCCTTGGGTGCACGCTGCCTGCGAGGGGCTCCAGGTCAGCTGAGGACACTCATCTGAGGCATCGCCCGTGGCTGGCTGCAGGGCTGCAGTGAGCAAAGTGCTGTCTGTGGACTCCAGTCTGGAAGCCATTAAAAGTTAATTGTGGAAAGAGCCTCCATTATGCATGTAGAACCTGTCATTAAAAAAAGAAAATCTCTTCTAATAAAATGAGGGCTGTAACTGCTGCAGGTCTTGAGGTGTGATCAGGTGTAAAAACTGGTTTCATAAAAATGTCAATTTTTGGATAGGAAAAAAGGCTACCATGAAGGTGACACAAATCCAATAAAATCAAGAGTGGAATAATTATTCTCCTTTACAAAAGCTGGAAAATTCTCATCACCTTTGGCTGCAGAGACCTATGGTAACGTCTGAAGTTCAAACAGGAAGGAAGAAACATGGACATTTGTGCTTCATTTTCATCAATAACTGAATAAACCCCACTCATCAATGTGTTCACTTTTTTCATTGGAAAGGAAAGGACTGTGTATTTCTCAGTTAAAGGAAATTTGGTGTTAGCTCAGCATTAATTTCTCAGCAATTCTGTGGCAAAAGGACAGATCCTGGCCAGTTCTGCTCCCGCTTTGCCAGTGGCTCCACAGCAGCAGCTCCCAATCCTGGCTCTGCCACAGCCGAGGCGTGCCACAGCACCATGGCACCGGCTCATCCTGCTAATCGCAGCTGTAAGAAAGCATGGACACACACAGAATCCACACCACATTGAAGTTGTTCTGCATTTGCAGTGTCAAGATAAAATCAAGACTAATGAACCTGCCCCAATGGCATAAGCATATTTCTGACAGGGGCTGGACCTGACGCAGCTTTCATGTATCGAGGTGACCTGGTTGCCAAACCCAATGCTGAGCTACATACGGGGAAAGGCAGCCAGCATTAGCATGGCTGTATGAATATTATTAATCAAATGAAAGATTCAGATGACAAAACATTTTAATTATTTCCTTTCTTCCTCAATTTAGCATTCCAAGAGTAAAAAAAAAAATTTAGTATCTTCTTTTAAATGAGCTTTTCCAGTGTCTTTTATAAATCTAACACATCTTCCTGAGATTATATTTGAAGGATTTCTGTGGTGCTGGTTGGAACAAGTCAGACTGATGAGGATCAGGCTGCTTCTGAGAGTCTCCATGTCACTGCTTTAGGGATCTTGTGAACCCCCTCACACGGCTGTCCTCGCTTGGCAGTGGACATTCACAGTGAACTGCAGCATTTGGTATTCAGGAAATGTCCTTTCTCTTTTGGTTTGGGTAAATATTTGGATGTTTCGTCTACCCTGGAAAGTAACAAAACAAATCCCAAAGGATTTCCCCTCTGCAAGGAGATGTTCTGATGCATGCTGGAGAAAGAGAAGTAACAAGTCATCCCTGGTGCACTCCAGTGCAATATTCATCTGTGCTCCCCCAGAGCAGTGCATTTCCCAGTCAAATGACCTGGAGCTCAACAGGTTGTTGCTCAGCTCTGGCAGGGTGGGACGGACTCGCACCGAGGAGCACTGCAGGAAGCATTACCCCCAGGGTGCTCTCCTGGCTCTGTACCAGGGCTGTGGGGCAGCTGATGGAGGGGGCACCCTCGCTTCTGGTCACAAAGGGGTCAAACAGGCTCTGGCAGATAGGACGTCTTTCCCACAGCTTTCCCTTTCCGGGTAGACTCGCCCACGCCGGGGATGGATAATTGCTGTGGTGTTTCACTCCCCGGGCGCTCTCGGGTATCGTCAGGTTTTGTGTCACTGTTGTTTAGTTGTCATCACAAGTCAGACCTGATGATTCAGGAAGTAACGTTTTTGATGTAGTTTTGAAACACGCTTCTGTTAACCAAAGCATCCTTCTGTTGTGGGATTTCTGGAGACAAATGCCTTTGGGGAAATATTTCCAGCTGAAAAAAAGTAAATTAGCACTAGCCAGGTCACAAGGAGGAAGAATAAACAGCCCTTCTCCGGTGGCAAGATCCACAAGGGCTGGTATAAATAGAGGACTATGGGGACAGAGGGATCACAATCGGATTCTGCAGCGACCTGTGCAGCTCGTCCTGGGCTCCAGGTTGGATCCACGCTTGCACGATGAGCTGTGCTGTCAGGCAGGTTGTTACTGCCTGTTCCCAAGGCAGAAGCAGCGCAGGCAGCTCTGCGGCTGGCAGTGGAAGGAAAGTCTCCTCTGCCTCCCCAGGGAGACATGCTACCTATGACCTTGGTGCTGTGATTGGCAACTTTTCTGGTGACAGTTTAAGCGAGGGATTACTTGGGAAGCAGCTGAACACCGGCAGTGCTGCTGGTGGGAGCTTTGGAGCTACTCAGAGGGCTTGTTCTGCCCTTGGATTCAGCGGTGGAGGCATCTGCACTCGTGGTGGTGGTTTCACCAGGGCTAGTGCTGGTTGCAGTGATGGGATCTTATTTGCTAACAATGAGAAGGCAACTATGCAGAACCTCAATGACCGCCTGGCCTCCTACCTGGACAAGGTGCGGCTGCTGGAGGGAGACAACGCCGAGCTTGAGTGCAAGATCAGGGAGTGGTATGCCAAGGTAGGGCCCAGCTGCGAACCGCGGGACTACAGCTGCTTTCATAAGGAGATCGAAGACCTTCAGAACCAGGTAAACCAGTCTTTTTCAAGCAAATACTAATATTTCTTTGGGTTTTGCTTTCACCTGTGGATAAAGCAATGTCAGATGCAATAGCTCTGCCTCTGGAAGGGCAGATGAAGCCATAGTTTATATGAAATGATGGTTGGAGGGAGGAGGACACTGCATTTACAGAGAAGTTTCAGCACAGCCTGCACTGCCAAACTGGCACATGAGTTTCCCCACCATGATGCCATCTAACTGATTGATAATCCCAGTATATGGAACTGTTATAAAAAGAGTGGGATGCATTACCCCAAGTAGGTGTTTCCTCTGATGGCCTTTGGGAGCCAGAGGAAACCACAAGCCGGAATCTCTCTCCTGTGTTTTCCTTCCAGATCCTGTGCGCAGCCATGGAGACTAACAAAATCCTCTTGAATATTGATAACAACAGGATGACTGCTGATGACTTCAGAGTGAAGTGAGTATGGCCCTGTGCCAGGCTGCAGGGTTCATACCGCCTGTGGAAGGGTTGGTGAGCAGTGGTGATGGGGAAATCCCAACCGTCTGCTTGTCATGCTGCCCTACTAAACTGCCCATCTGTGTGAAAGGCCTGGCTACCACTGACAATGGTCGCAGCATGGCATGCCTGAAGTGAAAGAAGAGCTTGATCTTAAATGTTTTCTCCCCAAGCTCAACTTCAGGGCTCACCATGGTTTACTGACCTCTCTTTGTTGGCTGTGGCTCAAGGTATGAGGCCGAGTGCGGTCTCCGGCAGAATGTGGACGCAGACATCTGCAACCTGCGCCCAGTGCTGGACCAGCTGGCGAGCTGCAAGACCGATCTGCAGCTGCAGTGTGAGGCCCTGACTGAAGAGATGTGCTGCCTCAAGACAAACCACGAGGAGGTCAGGTTGCCCCACAGAGAGTTAAGAAGCATGAAGAAGGAAAGTCCCCCCCACCAAGTGTCAGTATTACTGATATGGTGCACCTATTCCATGCAGGAAATGAGCTGTCTGAGGAAACAGGCCACTGGAGACGTGAGCGTGGAGGTCAATGCCTGCCCTGGCCCCGACCTGAGGAAGATCCTGGAGGATCTGAGATGCCAGTATGAAACGCTGATGGAGCGCAACCGCAAAGAGACTGAGCAGTGGTATGCCTGCAAGGTACGAACGCATGCAGAGCTGTCTCTTACCCTGCCTCCTGGGGGAAAGAGGAAAAGGAAAGGATAAAAGGACTTCCTGAGATGCCTTAATCTGTGTCACAGATGTGCTCAGCTTCTGATTGTACTGCCCAGTCCCAGTGTCCTGTTTGTGGTAGAGGGGCCACCACATGGTATTACAAGGTCACAACAGAATAAATGGGAGGCTTCAGATTTGTAAATACCCAGGTGCAGTGCAGGATGTGCACAAAAGGGCGTGCACAAGCAGGGGGAGCACAAGAGGGTGTGCAGGAGCAGGGGAGCACGTGCAAGTTGTGCACAAAAGGGTGTGCACAAGCAGGGTGGTGAAGCCCCTGCCTCAGCAAGGGGTCTAACCTTGCAGGTGGAGGAGGTGAATCTGGAGGTCATCACAAGCAGCCAGGAGATCGAGTCAAGCAACAAACAGGTCACGGAGCTCAGACGTCAGCTGCAGGCCTTGGAAATCAATGTACAAGCCCAGCTCACTATGGTAGGTGATGCCACTACAATTCAAATCTCAGCCCCCCAGGTCCCTTTGGAGCTGTACCTGTAACCAGACAGGTGAAGCTTGCAGCATCCCCAAGTGCCTTTCTGTTGTTCCCATTCTCAGAAAGAAAACCTAGAATCATCCTTGGCAGAAACTGAATGTCGCTACAACAAGTACCTGGCTGAGCTCCAGAACCAGATCTCCTGTGTGGAGCAGCGGCTGGCTGAAATACGAGCAGAAATGGAGTGCCAGAATCAGGAATACAAGACCCTCCTGGATGTCAAATGCCGCTTGGAGCAGGAGATCCAGACCTACCACTGCCTGCTGGAGGGGGGACAGCATGACATCATGTACGTAGACCATTGACAGACCCTCACACAGCAACATCTCTATGCTTTGACTTACAGGGATATGACAATTCATGGTACGAGTGGTAAAAGCAATGTATTGGTGAGGAACCAGCACTGACCTGCTACAGACAGAGCCTATTAGCAAACCACGAGGCATCTGAGGATCTGGCTCTGAGCAATGTCCATAGTCCAAGCCGAGACCATTCCCCCCCTTGGGCCAGTGCAGGTGGTGGGATTGGTCCCTGAGCCGTGCTGGTCCTCCCACCGCGGGTTTCACTCCGAGCTGGGCAAGGTCCTTTATGAGCACTGCCACTGAGTTTTATTGGCTTTGCCACAGCCAGACAGGATTAGGGACTGGCAGGGAAATGAAGTGAAACAATAAATTATCTACTATGCATTTTCAGTTTCACACAACAATTTAATTAAAGTTTGGGGAGATTTAATTTGTATGCAAAGTAGCTGACTCTTCCCAGCCTCCCATCGACTGAGATTTTGAAACAGTGAGGCACACTGGTAAGCTCATAAACGCCTCATACACACAGAACCAGCCCCAGCACCCCCTGCTCCACTAGTTTGGAAAAAAAGGGATTTTAATGGTAGTACCCTGAGGTGGGCTCCTGACTTACACAAAACATCAGGTTTTGTTCCAAAATGCCGGTTGCAAAGGATGAAATGACACTCTTAGAGCTTGTCTCAGAGCCTCGGGTAATGCTCAGTGTGTCACGATGGCAAAGCACTGGCTGGCAGCAGACAGGCAGGATGGAGGATGTGCTAATTGCTGCTCTTAATGACCTTAATGGTTCGAAGGGGAAACGGCCCACAGTGACTGAAGAGATCCAGCTAAAGGCAGTGCTCAGGTCGGGGGCAGATCTGCAGGGTGTGAATGCCGGGGCTTTGGTCACTGGTGCTGTCTCCTTTCCACAGAGGGCCAGGGGCAAGAGGAGTCCCTGCAGCACCAGCTGGAAGAAGCGGTGGGCTGAAAGCTGGCCTGTGCCAGCCCTGCCTGCCCTGAGCGCATGCACTGGTGAGGATGTGCAAGGTGAGGTGTCCCCTAGGAGCCTGTGAGCATGTCCACGAGCTGCTTCAGTCCTGCTCCATGCGTGGGAAAGAGAAGGACGAGGGGTTTCCAGGCTTTCCTGGGTGGTGGAGAGGGGCTGGAGGTGATTTCTTTTTCCCGGGGAGAAGCAGTGCAGGGAGCCAGACGTGCACGGTCGCAGCTGTGACTGCTGGTGGTGGAGCACTGGGATGAACCAGGCTGTGGTAGAAAACAGTGGCAGAGGGTGCAGCAATGGGGCATTTATAAACTTCTGCATAGAAAATGTGTTTGACACTGGGGAGTTTCTAGTGGTAAATGTGTTTAAATAAGACTTTCAACACCACATGAAAATGAGGAACTGGCAGGGGGATCAGTCAGTCACGAGTCTTTCAACAAGAATGTACAAGCAAGCAAGGGGGGAGAGGGAAAATAGTGGTCAGTCCCAGAGCAAGGGGGAAGCAAGAGCAAGGCATGGTGTAGAGATGAACCCTGCAAAGCCCCATGTCCTGCTCTCCCTCAGCAGGTCACCTCAGGCAGGAGAGCTCCCACCAGCACCCCCGAGGCCTCTCCATGAACAAGGCACAAAGAACCTGACAGTTCAGTTCTGCTTCCAGCAGCAGTCGGAAGGGCCCCTGCAGACCGTCTGCCCCTGTCCCCTCCCCATCCTCCCCTGCTGCTGCGTCCACCACCCACTGGTGTCCACTGGGACTAACACGCTTTGCACTCAGTTGTCACACAACTACCAAAGCTTGCCTCTAATAAACTTCGCTACTACTAAAAGAGCCTCCAACCCAACAAATGATTTCTACAAGTAAATTAATAAACAAGTATTAAAAACATTGTTACACAGGTAGTTGTATTTATCATACACCCTTGGTTAGAAATCCACCTTTGATCTATAGCCCCACAGCAATCATTGCAAGGGGACAAGAAAACAGCCTCTGCTGCACCGCCGCCACTGAATTCAGGTGGATGCAGGGTGGTGATGGGGGAAAGGGGCCAGCTGATGCTGCGCAAAGGGACACTTGTTGGATGGGGCTTTGAGCAACCTGCTCTAGTGGAAGGTGGCGGATGACCTTTAAGGTCCTTTCCAACCCAAACCAGTCTGGGATTCTATGATTCTATGATTTGCTACCAGAGGAGGAAGCATAAGCTAAGACATGAAATAGAAGGTGATGAGGAAGGAAACAGGGAGGGTGGCAGGGCGCAGGGAAGGTGGCAGTCTGACCCACAACCTCCTACTGAAAAAGACTTCAGAGCAAAAATCGAGTTTTCATTAAAGTAGGTGTGTGCAAATATAACATAATGTAATACACAACACCTTTGAGTTACTATGAATGTGCACTAACAGGATTAAATCAAGAACAACAAGTTTTCCCCGATGCCCTTGAAGCAGCAATGTGGAAAGCCGGGCTCTGCTGGGCTTGACACACCCTTCTGATGGACGGCAGCAATTCCCAGAGAAAATACTGAATAAAGAACCTCTAAATGGATTGTTTTAGAAAGGCAAACAGGAAGAACCAGCTGGCAACATGTGGGAAGATAGAAGGGCAGACAAATTAATATATGGGAGAGGGGTTTTTTTAAAGATACAATAAACAGATGGGAAAAAAAATGCTGCTACTTTATTACCTCAGAGAAAGGAATTACAAACCCAGTCAGGAGCACAACTGCTTGTACAAGGCAAAGACTTGGAAGCCAGCTTGTCCCTTCTCACCCATAACAGAATCTGGAGGGGGGCTTTGGACAAGGGCCTGAAGGGACAGGACAAGGGAAATGGCTTTAACCTGCCAGAGGGGAGATGGAGATGAGCTCTGAGGCAGAAGCTCTTCCCTGGGAGGGTGCTGAGGTGCTGGCACAGGGTGCCCAGAGAAGCTGTGGCTGCCCCATCCCTGGCAGCGCTCAAGGCCAGGTTGGATACAGGGGCTTGGAGCAACCTGCTCTAGTGGAAGGGGTCCCTGTTCTTTGCTCTGGTCTGTGCTCTGCAGAAAGCCTGGTCTGCTTGTGGGTCACCTCTGGTGCTCTAACCCAGTCACGCATCATGTCTGACTGTGCCAGTGCCGCAGGGCAGGGACTAAGCAATCCTGCTCCGAGTGTCCCTTTGGGGGGTGGCCTCTCCCCAGCCTCTGTACAGGTCACAGACAGTTGTTAGTCCTTGGGGTAATTAATTGCTCTAATGAGCTGCTGTTAAATATTTTTATTAAGTCAGTCCTGTATCTCCTATTCCCACCACACTAATTACACTCTGCATCTCAGTGTTATTTAACCTGTCTCAGTGTTTACACGGCACCTCTAAGGCCACTGCATTAATGCTGTGCAGCAACAAAAAGATGCCTTCCCTGCCCAGTGAGTTTATAGTGATGAGAAATGATGAGTGTGGAAATAGCACAGGAAGAGACAGGGAAGAGAAGATCAATGAAATGCAGAGGACACAGTGCGTGGGACGCCAGGACGAGAACCACCTGGGACACTGACTGGAGGCAAATGTAGATCACACTCCCCTTACGCATCCACTCACACCAGCACACAGGTAGCACAGCTTGTAAGAGCTTCTTTTCTCTTTTACTGTGCAAATCTTGTAAAGCAAGAACAAATTAGGACCTCAAAACCGTACAGAGACTTAGGCTGAAGGTTGGCAGAGGAATGTGAGGATAGAAAGAGTGAGGGTGTGTGCCCCAGAGAGAAGAAGGAGAGTTGTTTCAGCAGTCAGTCTGGTGGCAGAAGCTCTCAGCATCACAGCCAGGGCTGCAGGTGAAATGCACTGTGATTACTCAGGCAGATACAGACTGTGGTACGGAGCAGACACATGGGAACTACAGTACTATCAGAAAAAGTCCCTGAGGACATACCCTGAAGGATGCAGATATTGGAGAAGAAACAGAAAGAAAACAACCAGTTCTGAAAAATGCCAATGCTGGAAAAGAGCCGTGAGTTCAGGGCTGCGCTGCACAAGCAGTTAGAGTTGATGACAGGCACTGTAAGAGTATTCTGCTGTGGTGTATAAACTATAATTTCTTTATAAAGTCTGTTATATAAAGTATGCAGATGGGTACAGTCTCACTCACACCCATAGTAACTATCTGTGGGGTTTGTATTTTTTACTAGCTTGTGTAACATTTATAAAGAACTATATAGAGGAGTAAACTACTGCTATAACCATGAAGGAGATTTCTCAGCTCCGTTCTGTGAATAATGTAGTTTAAACTGCCACTATGAGCCATACATTGAAAGTGTATTGAAATTAAGAGACTTTTTAGTACAAGTATGAAATCAAGATAAGATGGAGACACTCTGGGAGGCTCTGGCTGGCTGGTGTCCTGGCTGCCTGTCTCTGCTGCCCCTCTGTGTAGTGTCTGGGCGCAGAAGGCTCCCATTCTCTTGGCAGGTCCTGGTTTGAGTCTCGTGGCTCTGGTGCAGGGACCATGGGATGAAGCCATTTCTCTTCCTGACCTGCACTGCGCTGAGCTGCCCATGCAGGACTGAAACTGCTGGAGTTTTGTTCTCCCATCAGTATTCCAATCTGTCCTAATACACATTCCCTGGCACTCTTCTTTGCCATGATAATCAGCAGCGCTTCCAGGGATGCAAATGTGGATAAGTCTGGCTGCACTGTTATCATCTGGAAGGAAATTAAAACTCTTAACAAAATGAATCAGGGAAGATTCTGAGCTTCAGTAGGAAGAAATCTGGTTCTGTCCACCTCCATGTTCTGCTGAACTTCTACTTCACCACTAGCAAGTTCTCAGAAGTAGTCTGAAGATGTGAACAGTCAGCAAGAAACTGAAACAGAGTCATCACCTTGGTCTCTGAGGTGTATTTAAGAGCTGGGATCATGCTGTTACCAAACCCATTGTGATAATTATTTCTCTTGCCTTACAGGTGTTTTGCTAAACATGGTGGTATAAACCAATGAGTCACTGGCCAGAAAAAAGTTATGGTCTGCATTCGAAAGATGGGAGCATAAGGTCTGGAGCCGGCTCAGTATGACATCAAAGAAATGTTTAATAAGTGATGCCTAATGGCTATTATGCAAATTATTAATGGTAATTACAAGTGACAAGATAAAATCATATTCCAGTGTGGTTGCACAAACATCACTGAAGCAATGCTTATGAAAGCACAGTTCTGTCAAATTAGACACACCTTTCTTGTAGTTGACACAAGAAAACATTATCAACCTTGATAAGAGAAGCAAGCAGAAGGTGGGAGAGACAGGTTGATGTACTGCACCGAGGCTGGGCACGGGGACAGTCACAGCTCCCACAGGACCCAACTCCACTGCCCACAATGTCACCTGAGACTGTAACATCCTCCTGCCTCCTCGTGAGCTGCCCATTGCTGTGTGCCCATATTTACACTTGGTACCTCTTCATCCACTTCCAGATCTCTCTTCTCCATAATGCCCACAAGACTTAACAGTGTTTGTGTGACACAGACCTCTGGTGCTCACACTGGCTAACTGCCTGGCACCTCTTCCTTTACTTCCATTCGTGTGAAACCATTTGTTTCCTCCTGTCTGAGATTTAGGTTGCAAATCCTTTGGGGACATTTTTATATCTTCGACTTGCACAGTCCTTTCCTACGCAGTGCTCTGCCCCAAGGCTGTGCCCCCCGGCTATGGGAATACAAACAGTAGCAAAAGTGGAGGTAAAGAAATCAGTCTAGTGGGGAGAACAGCCAGTGCTGATGGAACAGAACAAGATGGTGTCTCGCAGCTAAAGAAAGCAGAACCCTACAGTCAGGAGACACATGCACACGACTCTACCCAACCTGTGGTTGTATGGAGCAGGGCAATACCGCAGTGCTCTAGCACACAGAGCTGCAGCCATGCAGCCAGAGTGAGGAAACCCTCACTGGTTTGAAACTACAACCTGGGCCTAGCTTTTGGATGTCCCATGTGCCACCTCCCACTGACAGTGGCAGGAGCCCAGTAAAGCTCCAAAGGATGTCATTGTATCTCAAATACCAGTACTTCAGAAGAACTGTGTATTTGCAGCCTGTGGACCTTTCCACCAAGATGTATGTAGAAAGTTGTAAAATGTTGCAAACCACTTTGGTTTGTGGAGTGAGACCTATTCCTTCTTTCTATTACGTAACTGCTGAAACAAGGTGTTGGAGATGCTCCTTGCCCACCTGGAGAGATCATCTAAAATCTGCAATATACTCTCTGAAAGGAAAAGAGAGGCAGCGAGTAGTGCTCGCTGTAGGTTGCTATTAGGTAACTTCTGAAAGGCTCCACAACAGAGCAAAGCTCCAAGCAATCCACACATTATATTAATTTCTGTTGGCTCTTACAGCCACACCCTGCCTCCAATTATATTCCTCAAAAAGACAGATGAAAGCCAGATTTACTCCCCATCCTCCTTTCTGCTCCTCATTTTCGCTGTGGCGAGTCTTGACTGCACAGGGAGCATGGGGGATGAGTTTGCAGGGGAAGGATGGACTCGTATTTCAGGCACTGCAGTCTCAGCCAGGATCTG